GAATCTGAGAGTCTCTGTTTCCTCATTTAGAAAATGGGGAAGTTGACCTAAATTATCTGTAGCTTCCCTTCTAGCATTAGAATACCATATGTAACTCTAGATATGATGGGGGAGGACCTAGAAAGTGGAAAAACAGAGCTAATTTTCCCCAAAGTCATTGACACTAGCAAGCCATTTTCTCCATCTGGAGAAATGAGTACTAATCTTGTCTTAACTGTGAAGACAACTCAACGACTCTCCTTCCCGTAAGTGTGAATATCCTCTCCCAACTCATTTGGTAAGCAAAATGTTTCTACCAAAATTAAGTGAAAATAGCAGTACATGTTTAGGAACTGAAAAGATGGTCTTTTTCTCCCTAAGTAGAAGTCTAGCACCTCCTCTTCTTGTACCTATTCCAAACACCACCCAAAAGCTAAAGAGATAATGTCTGGAAAAATACAGAAATACAGGATGACTTTGCCTGAGGCAAAATTGATTTTAGTTTGCTTCAAAATGTTAAAAAGAATTAAGTGAAAGCACCATCTAGTGGTTCTCAGCCGTGTTATGCTTCCAATTTCCCTCAGTCTGAGACCATACTGATTTTTATGGAAGATAAAAATCTTCCATAAGTGATTAGACTGCCCTGCTCTGAGTCACATCATGGCATATGACACTAGTTAATGAGGCCAGGCCTTACCCCAAAGGACTCCATTATACACAAGCATCAGAGTCCATTTGGGTACAGGTGCAGAAGCAAGGCAAGCTTGATAGAGTGTAAACACTACTGCCTGTCCAGTGCTACCCAGGAAGCACAGGCCAATAGTCAACTTATTCCCAAAAGTAAGATCCTGTTAGGCTGTAAACCTGTCTAGTGCCACCCAGGGGACACAGGCTAATAGTTGACCTATTCCCAAAAGTAAGAGGTGCAACACCCTATGCATTGATCAAAGCCAATGGGGACTATATGCATATATTAAAGTCACATCAAGAAAGCCAGGCCCCAGAACATATTCAATGGACCAGATTAAGGGAAGATTAAAACATCCTCACTTGGACTGCATAAGGAGGACACCTAACGCTGTGATGGCTACACCCTCACCATCCTGTCACCAGACCTCCCTGTGTGTGAGTCAAGGAACCAGCAGGCAGGAAATTTCTGACTGTGCCCCAGGCTTCAGCTTGAGTTGGTCCTCACTGCTGATGTCGCCTACTCTAACTGCTCTCAGTCCATTTACCATTCATTTGTGTGGACCATTTGGCTCTAATGCCTCCCTGTTCTGCACCTTGCTTATACAGTATGGCTCAACTCTCAGGAAGTAGAACTCTGCCCCTATAATTTGACACTACAGGGGTAACAGCAGTATCTCCAACAGGCTTTCTATGGTTAATTATTAGACCCTTCTTCTCCCTGGAAACTGACTCTTCTAGCATCCCCATCAGTTTCTGTTTATGCCTCTTGACTAGGCCTCTTTGGAACATCTTAAAGTCTGCTGCAGCTTTTTTATCCCTTTGTACACATTCTGTAACCTGCATAGGTAGACAATAAATAATGATAAGATAGATAGATGATAGATAGATAGATACATAGATAGATAGATACATAGATAGAGACATTGATAGATGACAAAGATAAATGCATATATATATCTATATATAAATATGATCTGACAGTGCATAGTAATAGTTAAGATTGGAACAAAAGCTGATTGCCTCAGTGAGGTGTCAAGGGACTTGATACTACATGGCAAATTGCTGTCAATGAAACAGCATACTCTGTGAATTTATTGCTATTTAGTAAATTTTGATATTATGGAAAGACATCAAGTTCATCTAGTTTCTGGCATGGGGCATCATAATATATAAACATGCATGAGCATGTATTCATATACACATATATGTGTATATATTCATGTGTGATCAAAAAAGAAACTTTTTCACATCTGTGTAGAGATGGAAAGATGAGAAGGTTGGACAAGGCTGCTGTGTGGCCTTTTACCCTTTCAGCTAACACCACATCAAAAACTGCAGCACTGGGAATTGAGCAGAGAAGTCACATTTGATATTCTGACAAGTGATGAGTTCAATTGATTTCAATTCCTCTCCCCTCCCATACTCAGATCCTTCCTGGGAGCCAATGGCAGATTTTATTCTCCCCAGTCCCTCAACACAGACATTTCATCTTTTCACATCCTCAGATTTCAAGCACTTTCCACAACAAGCCCACCTTAGTCATGCACTAGCAACAGTTCTAAAATTATCCAGGGGATGACTCGTTGACTCACCATCTCTTTCTCTTGAAACTGTTGTTTAATTACCTTTAAGAGAAGAAGAAAAGTGATCCAAACATGTACATGAGTAGAACACAACCAATTTTTATGATTGTAAATTTCCCAATTGGCCACCTAAGTACTTGTATTTATTTCAATTAGAATTAATCTCAGCTATGTGTAAAGTAAAAGCCCAAATAGCACTGCTTTGAAAAACATGGTTTATTCTCTATCACAGTAAGACAAGAAATGGATAGTCTGGGGATGGAGGGATAAATCTGTGGTCATCAGGCCCAAGTCCTTCCTTTGTTCTGATTTCCACTTCAATGAGTAGCTTCCAGCCTCAGCATTATCCATGGCTCAAGTAGCTCTTGAACCTTCAAATACCTCACCACTACTGAAGTTCCACAGATAAGCTGAAATCAAAAGAAAATCCTTCCTTTTCTTTACAGGGCTGTCCTGAAAACATCACACATCTTATTTGCCACAGCCAATGGTCAGGCTCAGAAGCAAGGGAAACTGAATGAGGTTATTAGCTATGTCTGTCTTACAAAATTGGACTTATGTTATTGAGCAATATATGAGTTACTTATAAAATTAGAGTTATGTTTGAGCAATGTATGAGTTACTTCATACCACAGATGTGCTACCTGATAAGCAACCACAGGAACTCTATGGCAATGACTGTTTGTCTGGGGTCAGCACTGGCTCATGTCTGATGATCTTGACTGAGTTGCTCAAGTGTCTGAAGGAAAGCTGACTCCTTCCTTGAGCTGGCCTCAACACAAAGAGGAAAGGCTTCACTGACATGGATCAGTTATGTTCTATTCTCATCATCAGCCTGCTAGGCTTTTCATAGTCTCACAGAATGAAAATTAGGAACACTCAGGATCTTTTGAGAACCAAACTCAGAACTGACAAATTGATATTCATGTATCTTTTTATTGGCCAGAGAAAACTACTACATTTGAATAAACACAGCCATGAACTCTTTATGAAAAGAACTTTGAGATCTATTAACAACATGAGAGGGGGGATGAAGATTTAGTCATGAAGAGAATTGTCTTCCACAAGTAGAGCAGGGAGGAGAGACAGCAACCCAAGCTACTTGCAATCTCTGCCCCTGTATTTCCTAGTCTGTTACAGAATTGCAATGTTAGTTCTCTTCCTGCTTTACGTCCTGACTTAAACATGAAGACCTTGTAATGAAAGAGGAGATAAAAAGAGCTCAAACCTTACATGTGTTTGATTGACAGTTATGAATTTATTCACTTCTTGACACATAATGATTTTCTTCTATTAAAGTGAGCATTAATCTCAAGATTAGCACCCTTTCTACTCTTTATTGTGTGCAGAGATTTATTAAGTATGCAGCAACCCTCATTCTGAGTAGTACTCATGAAATCTAAGCAGGTGGACTTACTACTCCAGGACTGACTCATAAATTATCCCATATACAATCTTCCCCTCCCCATAGTCACCACTGAATATAAATTACCCTGAAAACAGAGCAGTGGAATAAACCAGTAGCTTAGATCAGCACCCCTTTACCATCTGTCTTGGCCCAACCAACTACATACATTAATTTTCCCCCTAGATCTTTACTAAAAATAAAAGTAATAGCCCAAATAACTTGACACTTTACCCAAGAAATAATTCTTTTAACTAAAAATATATTTTTATTATAGGACTACTGTGTCAAGTGAAGACAATGTCTTTGTTTAGAGTTATTAGGGTTCACCTGTGTTTTATCCTTACCTTCACTGATCTATCCCAATACCTATATGTCATAATGCAAACAGCAAAGGAAATTGAGACACTGAGACTCTAAACAGTAAGGGGATTTTGAGTGTTATCTCCATGATACTGGCAGTGCCTTCTCTGGGCTCAACATTTAATTTTTAACTAAAATACAGAGATAGCACTTTAAAAAATGGTTCCTAGCTATGTATTCAATGATTGATGTAAAAGGCAACTGTCCAGATACTTGGTAGCAAGGAAACAAGGAAAGAAGGCCAGTTAGTGGCTGACTTGAAGGTGTTGCTTGTCATGGCACCTGACAGTGTAACATTTGTGATCACATAAAATAAAGCTATGAATAGGAATTTGATGGAAGCAATTCCCAGAGGATGTGGGTGAAGGAAATCCAGCCAACACTGTTGTTCACCTTTTGCTAAGCCATCTTCTTCTTTGGTCTGAGAAATGGGGAAGGGAGAGAGTAGATGGCCATTCATACATGTATGGTGGGAAACACCAAGCTTTTGCCTGTAGATTCACACTGCATGGCTGCCAGCTGTCACACAGTTTCTAACAAACATGAAAACATCAGGAACAGGTATGCTGGATGTCAACAAGAAAGGTGATTGCAAATGGCTGTTTTCTTGTATTATGTCATCAGACTAATGGGCTTCAGAAATTAGATTTTCATTTTCTAGAAATAAACAACATAAAATTCAAATAAGCAGGAATGAACAGAAACCCACCAAGAGAAACTTGTAAATAAATTCATAAAGTTCCATCTACTTCATTTTTACCAATGAAGCCTGAATAAGAGGGCCTTCTTAATTAGCACTGCAGCAAGGCACACACTTTTGTCAGAGCTGTGGTCTCCCTTATGTAAAGAAAGCCAATTCTGAAGAAGGCTGAGGGAACAACAATGACAGGGCCATCTAACATACTTTCCCAGGCCACTGGAACTCAAACTTATGACAATATTTTCTTCCTAATGAGCCTTAGCATTTCAGTTTTCTGTTCCTACCTGAAATAATTTCTCTTCTGGAAGAAAGCAAATCCTAGGATGAGCAGAATAATCCCCAAAAGGGAAAGTTTCACATAGAGAATGATCAGCAAGGAATGCAGAGGGCTGGTGACACCTTTAACAACAGGCAAGGACAAAAATTCAGGTCAGTTCAGTAATAGTTCTAATCAAGAAACTGAAAACAAACAGCTTTAAAATCACTTAAAGTATTTCCAAAATTTTAGAGAATGTCAAAATCAGAAAACCTTATCAATTATAATTCAAATACCACTCATATATCTTTATTTCAGGATCAAGTTTATAAATGAAGTCCAACTTTTGTGCTTGGTAGGCATTAACAAATATTTTAAAGTGATTAAAAGCACACTAAGTATTGTTAATACTAGCCAGTTATGCAAGGGAAAAGTTCGCATGCAAATTTTATTTTTAATGAAAATACAATTGCACCATTTGCATCAATTCCTCTTTCTTCCTCCATCCTCCTCCATTTGTCCCCACCTCCCAATACTCCCTCTCAAATTGCTAGCCTATTCTACACTGCTATTGTTGAACATTTATACATAATATGTAAGTGCAGTCTGCTGAGTCCATTTGTTGTTGTTTGCACGTACATAATTTCAGGACTGACCACTTGGTTTTAGATAAACAATTGGGGGCCATCTTCTCTCCCACTCAGCATACCTTAGTCAACTGTAGTTCTCTGACTAAGGGTGAGGTCATATGAGATTTCGCCTTTTCATGTTTGCTATCTATTGTTGGTTTACTAATTCAGGTCTTGTTTGAGCAGCCATATTATTGAGGTTTCATGGGTGAAGCTTCCGAGTCTTCTTAGGAGGCACAACTCTATAATAGATTTCCTGGTCCTCTGACTCATATAATGTTCTGCCTCTACAATGTTTCCTGAGTGTTAGGTGTAGGAATTGGGTTGTAGAAATATTCATGGGGCTGGACATACCATGATCAGTGTTCTCTGCATTTTGATCATCTGTGTGTTCTATAATGGTTTCTGTCTAATACAAAGAGAAGCTTTTTGGTAAGGGTTAAGAGTCACATTCGTTGGTGGTCATAATTATGGACACTTAGAATTTAGATAGAAATTATGCTGATTTAGTGAAGGGATGTAGTAGGGTCATCTCTGATCAATGACAATTGATCAATGACATCAATATCCTTGAGTAGTTGGCTAGTTTTCCAGTACAAGGCATGGCTTTTCTTCTGGTAGGTGTCACTCTAATGTAACCGGACAGCTATTGGTTGCTGCTAAGATATGATTGCCACTATTTCGCCATAGAGACCAACCAGCCTTGCTGGTGATTGTTGTGGTTCATAAGCTTCATAGTTCAATGGCACTACCAGTTGTTTCCCTTTGATGATTATGAGAGTTAGTCATCAGGGAGGAGGCTTTCAGGTCAAATCCAGTTTAGATTCTCTGAGTCCTCTGTCTAAAGTGCATCCCATGCAAATTTTAGTCTTTTGAAAGACATTGGTTTTTTTTAATAAAAAAACAGTTTTGAGAATTTCACAAAATGTGTTTTGATTATATTTACCTACAATTCCTTTTAACTCCTACCATATCCACACCCCACTTTGTTACTCCACCAACTTTGTGTCCTATTTTTTAACACACTGATGTTGTTTGTTGTACAGATTGTTCTAGATGACTTACAAGACATCAGTGCTATCCAAGGATTACATGCTCTAAACATCTGAAGAATCAGAATGGTTCCTCAGCACCAGCTCGGGGTCCAGGAGAAGTGGGAATAACTAGATGAAAGAGGTTATAGAAAGAGGAATTTTGGAAAGGAGCAACTTGAAAATCCATCTGAGCTGGGTAGTGGGGGCACAAATCTTTGATCTCAGCACTCAGCAGGCAGGGGTAGGCAGATCTATGAGTTCAAAGTCAGCCTGGTCTACAGAGAAAGTTCCAGGACAGCCAGGGCTAGGTATACAGAGAAACTGTGCCTTGCAAAACAAAAAACAACAAAGCAAAATAAGAGAGAGAAAGAAAAACCCATCTGAGAATGAATTAACCTGAATCCTGTTGGGAACACAGAAAGGGGAATGTGGAGATCAGATCTATGACAATCACAACCTAATTACAGGTGTCAGAGTTTGGAAATGCAGAACTGAACAACACAGTTCTTACACTTGAGGAGATCCTTATACTGGGGTAGAGAAGATGCTGCTTGAGGTACAGTGAGAAATACAAAGCCAGTATGGTACCCCACACCTTTAATCCCACTGTAACCTGCACGGTGAGTTACAGACTGCCAGGGCTATGTAATGAGATGCAATCTCAAACAAAAAAAATCAATTAAAATAAAAGTAAAAAAGAAATTCATGCATGGTCTGTGTTCTCCATCTCCTGAAACACAGCTCCTAGAAGAATTGCCACCATAATAGAAACATCTTAGGTATGCCAGGAAGATGATTGATGTCTAGAAACTCTTAGAGAGATTCATGGTGGGGGACTATCACCAGAAAGACTAAATTGTGATTAGATGGTTAGGAATTGGAGCCAGATACTACCTCCATCACCATCACCAAACTTGTCATGAAGGAAGAGGGGCTAGGGATTGATCTAATCACCAATGACCAATTATTAGCCATCATGACTATGTAACAAAATCTTAAAAGAAATCCTAAACACTATGGTGTGAAAAGTTTCTGTACAGGGATAACATCAGGGAACTGAAAGAACAAAAATCCTTGAGATAGCATGAAGCTCTATGCTCCCTCCTCCACAGAGGGCCCTATGAACCTCTTCAACTTGTCTGTCCCCTGTTGCAGTCTTTATAATAAGCCAGTAATAGTAAGCAACATGCATCCTCAGTTCTGTGAACCATTCTACCAAATAACTGAGCCTGATACATAGATTATGGAAACATCCTGAATTTATAGCTAGAGTCTGAAGTGGATCTGTTGTGCTAGTTAGCTTTAACTGCCCATTTCTAGGGCAGGTGAGGTAGATAGATGATAGATAGATAGATAGATAGATAGATAGATAGATAGATAGATAGATAGATGGATAGATAGATAGATAGAGCTAACTATGGGTCTGAGTAGCCAGCAAGCAATGTTCATCCATTGTTTCTGCTTCAAGATTCTGCTTGAGTTGTCTTGACTTCCCTCTTTCTTTCCTTAAGTGGTGTTTGGCCATATTTGTCATAAACAGAATGAACTTCAAATATTTATTTATCGTGGAATAAGTTAAATATCAATTCTTTCTTTTTTAAAGAAAAAGTAATACTCACCTTGATTTTGTTCTATGGACAGAGTCTGGTTGCCAGTCAGATGGGAGACGAAGCAGAACACAGCAGACACATTGCTGTGCTCCCTGTGGTATGTGCTCCTCACAGTAACAGTTCCATTGCTGTGTGATTCAGTCTTAGTCACATAACACCCATCTGGGGTCCAAGAGATCTGAGCCGCAGGCTTGCCAGCAATGGCCTCACAAACTGCAGCTCTCTTTTCCCCTGGAATCAGGGTTACTTCAGGGGGGACTGTAGAGATAGTAAGGGAAAAGATACAGTCTTGCCACAAATTCCAAAGTCATTTGTTTCTGTTTAAAATCCTGTGACCTGAAATACCACAATTTGTGACATTGTCACTTACCTAGAACTTGGAGGTCATGTATCTGTTGGAAATGCCCTTCAGTTGATGCCATCTGACATGAATAATGCCCCTCATGACTGAGTTCCACTGTATCGATGTGAATGTCAGGACTCTGGTCAGGTGTGAAGGCCAGGGTGATTCTCCTGTCGGTACAGTTGATTGCACTGATCTCCTCTGTTTCTACTTCATAGGATATTGTGCAGCGAGGCTGGTCTCTGAGGGTTATTTTCCACGTTATTAATACTACCTTTGTCAATGGAATAGGAGTGCAGCCCAGCACAACCGTTGTACCCATTAGTACAAACACTTGGGTGCTACCTGGACACACACACACACACACACACACACACACACACACACAGAGAGAGAGAGAGAGAGAGAGAGAGAGAGAGAGAGAGAGAGAGAGAGACTTAATAAAGGACTTGGTGTATTAAATTTACCAACAATAAATTACACAAAGTTGTATTAGAATGTCTTTTGTTCTGGCAATCACACCATAAAAACTTTATAATTAATAAATTACAGTTCACAAAGCACACATTGTTTTTAAAACCAGTTCACATACTAGCCAACTGTGCCCTCTGATACACATTTCTGGTGGATCAGTGTGTTATTAAATTATTTTAATTTAACACAACAGTTTTGCTATCTAGACACAGAAAATTGCTTCTCAGTCTTTGAACTGAGAGCAAATAATCCAGACATGAGAACACAATAAAATCACATTACATTACAAAAATAGTGTTCTAAATACAATTTATGGTGGTTGACAATATCACACAATCTGAGCTTCTCAAGAAACAAATGGAATACTCAATCATGTAATCGTCTGCTAAGATTTAATAAGTACCAGTATAATCACCAAGACCCCACCAAGGATTGAGATAAACATTAATGTAGAAAATATAAAGACACTGTCACTAAAAGTAGTTCATGGCATATACATTAAACTAGTTAGAAATTTTTATATTTATTTTATTGACAGATTACAAATATGTGAAATCGATTGAATTTAAAACATTGTATAACTTCCCCAGCTTGACCATCTCATGAAAAATAAAAACAATAATCAGTAGAAATAGAAGATGCCTAGAAATATTTGCTTCCAGTGAAAATGTATGAATATTTTGAGAACCTTTAAAACTCATAATTTTACTGAAAATGTGTAAAACTGTCACACATACTACTTAGATATGTGTTCCTTCCTTCCTATTAGATAAGTATAAAATTCAGACAGTTCAGCTGTAAGTTTTGTTCATAGATCTTATTTTTGTATTTTATGAGGATGAAATTCACAAGTTGACCATTGTGCCTATCTATAAATATTAAATTAAACCCTGGAATCTTCTAGCTTTTCTTACTTAGAACTCATGCAATCTGTGCATTGTTAAAAGACACCATGACTGATAAGTTTGCTGGAGGGTGTTTATTCAATCAAAACATCAGTTCCAGCCGACCTGTGACAAATGCAGGTGTCAGGACGATCTCAAATTAACATAATCAGAAGCAGTTATATGATGGAGGAACTTTGTGCATCTCTCCCCTTTTTTGTTCTTCTGCCAATTCCCTCCTCTGGGCACACAAGCAAGCCTCATGTCTTGTGCCCAAATAAAGGCCAATATAACCAGATAAAGGAAAAGGTAGGACTTTAAACCCATTGTGGTCATTTGAATGAGAATGGCCTCCATAGGTTCATATATTTGAATGCTCAGTCAGAAGGGAGTGGAACTATTTGAAAAGATTAGAAAGATTAGGAGGTATGGCTTTGTTGGAGTGGGTGTGGCCTTGAAGTAGGAAATGTATCATCAAGGGTGGGCTTTGAGGTTTCAAAACCTCATGCCAGGCCTTGTTTCTCTCTAGTTCTCTCTAGTTCTCTCTAGTTCTCTCTCTCCCTCTCTTTCTCTCTCTCTTTTCTCCCCTCTCTCTCCATGATTTCTGCCTGTGGATCAGGACCTATCTGTCAAATCTCTCCATATGAGCCACTATGGACCCACCCTGATGATATTGGACTAAACTTTATAAACTGTGAGCAGGTCCTCAATTAAATGCTTTCTTTTATAAGATTTGCTTGGTCATGGTGTCTCTTCCTTCACACCAGTAGAACTCTGACTAAGACACCCATAGTCTTTCTATCACCACAAGTTTGCAAAGGCTTAGAGGAAAACAAGGATGCATGTTGTTAGGGAAACAACTAACCATCCATTTATGCAGGACCTGTCATAGCAGAGCACTTGGACTACTAGGTGTTTCTACTAAGAAGAGTAAGGCTGGAATACTACAGCCAGGGTATCAGCTACTTTTATAACCAAGACTCACTCTCCATCTCCTCAGTGATAACCACTACATGAGCAAGAATATTACCATCTCCTGGAAGTAGCTCCTGCTGTTTATCATCACTTTGTTCTGGCTGCTGATAACCCCATGGCTCCTGATGCTGTTCCGTAATTGAACAACTTGAATCTAGAAAATATTTAAAGAGAAATCTATGTTATATGTTCATATAGAGTAAAAGTCTTCTTTCTCAACAAAGTCTTATTCAACACAACAGATAATCATTAACCTTGACTAAAATTACTCACCAAAACTCATTGTAAAATATTAGATATTATAACATCCGGGATGAGACTAGATTATTGTCTTAAAATCACGTTTACAAAGTATTAATTAATAGTTTCTTATTTATAAGAAAACTCATTTAAGCAACAGTATTTTACAAGGGGCCCTTTCCCTTTCCCCATGTTCTAATCATGCCACAGGCATAGCATTAGTCATTGTGGGCATCCTCATCCCAGTTGATCTTAAAAACTTTCTACATATACCATACTCTGATTATGTTTCATGAAATGATAGGCACCTAACCTAGACAATGTACAGATTTTTTCAATACATTTAGAATCAGAATTAAAAATGATTTTTCCAATATCTCCCTTCCTCTTTGGTTTTTCCTACTTTATAACAGGAAAAAATAAAACAAAAATCAAAGGAAGAATTGAAATGAGAATTAAGGTCTACTTTGACTTTTGAGTTCCATAGCTCCAGATTCCTATTGGCAATTAATTCCTGTGTATTCTGTAGAATACTTGACAATTGGAATAGTTCTATTCTATGTCATTAGCTTAGTTTTTGTTGATCTTTGCGGTTACACTCTACTTATTCTTATTCTCTATTCTAGGTTAACAATGAGGCCATGGCTTCTGTTACTTTAGTGGAAAATGCTGCTACACAGAACTCTATATCCTTTCTACTCTTGTTGAAAATCCTATCTTTCAGAAACCATTCTTCCTCCATTTTCAGATGTTAGAGTCTGATCAAAGATGATTTTAAAATTCTATGCTAATAGTAAACAAAGGTTGGTAGTTGTATTTATTTTAGATAAAGAAATTTGAGAACAAGAAAAGATATCAAGGATAAGTTGGGCATTGTAGAAAGATGCACCATCAATTCTCCTCCAAGAACAAATTCCAACTCTGAGCTTGTAGATACATACCAACAGAGAGTCCAGACAAAGAAGCAAAACCTCTTACAACTTCTAGAAGAAATAGGCAAAAACACTTCTGTAGTTTACAGATTTCAACATCCCTCTATTAGAAAGGGAGAAACAAATAATTGGTACAAAATCAGGTAAGGCATAACTGAACATTAAAGCTCTGTCACCAGCTCAGTATAATTTATGTCTCTACAGAAATCTACCTATAGTAGAATACATATTTTCCAAGCTCATATGGAGCTTCCATGAACATGAGTGTATCTTCATCCATGACCCACATATTACATTTTTAATGTATTTTATGTGTATGGTTATGGTTCTTGTATGGTTCTATATGCACCACTTACATGCCTGGGGGCCTCAGAAGACAGAAGAAGACATTAGATCCCCTAGAATTGGAGTCATAAATTGTTGTGAGCCACCATGTGGCTACTGAGAGTCAATCTAAGTCCTCTTCAAGAGCAGCCAGTGCTATGAACAGCTCTGATACATCTCTCCAGCCAGGCATATTAACATATTTCAAAGAACGGAATCATACCATGACTACTCTTTGACTATAATGGAATTAAGCTAGAAACCAATAATTGTAAATGGACCAACAAGTATTTTTGAGATAATGTCATATAATTTTTAAATAATAATTTAGTGAAAGAAAAAATCTTATATTTTTGGTGGGAGCCAGACTTTAATGACCAACTTATCTCTCCTTCATGAAAAAAGAAATCTTAAGAAAAAAATTTAAAATATTTTGAAATAAGTAAGAATAGAAATTATCAATACTTATAGAATACTATCAAGCAGTGCTTAGAATGAAAGTTTTAGCCATGACTGTTATTATAAGATAAGAAAAATTATCTAAAAATCAATCATTTAAACTCCAACTTCAAGAAACTATAAAAAGAAGAGCAAATCAATCCCAAAATAAGCAGAAGAAAAATTAGAGTCAAAATTATTGAACAGAGGAGAATGGAGAAAATCAAGAAAACTAAAGCTGATTCTTTCAAGGGATCAGTAAATATCCCAATAACTAGCCAAACTAGTTATGAAAATTAATCAACTAGCCAAACTAAGGAGGAAAAAAATCAGAAGTGGTATGACTTGAATTCCAAAGGACATTAAAAGAGTAGTGGGATTTCTATAAAGAATTCTATGACAAGAAATTTGATAATCTATATGAAACAGACAAAATTTTGAATGACGCAACTGCCTAAATTTATACAAAGAGAAACATATGGGGGGAGGGAAGTGGAGAAGAGGAGGAGAGGGAAGAAAGGAACTAGTTTATATTAATCAGGAAAATCTTCAAAAACAAAAGATTTTATTAGAAACTTTTAAAACTGTATAATGTTAATCATAATGATGAAGAATAGCTTCAGACTACATAAAGCAAAATTTTAACTAAAGAGACATGTACATGGTTTCACAGTCATAGATGGAGACTATGGCACATCTTCCTCAAAAAATGTATAGAACAACAAGAACTTTTTTATCATTTTTTATTTGAATTAGAAACAAGATTGAATTATATGACAATCCCAGTTACCTTCTCCCTCCCTACTCTATGTCTAAAATCCAAATATGAGTGAGTATATATCATATTTGTCTTTTTTGAGATAGGGTTACCTCACTCAGAATGGTTTCTTCCAGTTCCATCTATTTTTCTGAAAATTTCAAGATTCCATTGTTTTTTTCTGCTGAATAGTACTCCATTGTGTAAATGTACCACATTTTCTCCATCCATTCTTCAGTTGAGGGGCATCTAGGCTGCTTCCAGCTTCTGGCTATTACAAATAGTGCTGCTATGAATATCGTTGAACAGATGTCTTTGTTGAATGAATGTGCTTCTTTTGGGTATATGCCTAGGAGTGGAATTGCTGGATCTTGTTGTAGACTGATTCCCATTTTAACAAGAACTTTTAAAAGTATAGATAAAGAATATATTACATCACTATCAATTGTAGTGACCAAAATTGCTGTTATGAGACAATTCCAATGTAATACTACATGTTTTTAAAGTGTCCTAGTTATGTTAATCAAAGTTGATTAAATGTGCTGGATCACAGTACAAATCTATACCTTTAAGCAAGAAGGCTCAGCAGGTACAGGTATGTAGCCGAGCCTGAGGATCTGAGTTTGAACTCTAGAACCCATATAGTGAAAGATAAGAAAAATACCTGCAAGTTATCCTTTGACCCCCACACAAATGCTATGTAATGAACACATTCACACACACACACACACACACACACACACACACACACACACACACACACACACACACACACATGGCAGAATGGCACACACATTAAATACATATATACTTTTAAAATTTTTTAAAGATTAAATTATTTTCATATAAAAACCTCCCATGCTTTCTTAATTGTTGACAATGGATTATTAATGTTGGAATTTATGTCACATTTGCATCTTATACATTTTGAAGTAGAAGGAAATACACTGGTATTTTTCTATTTGAAGAAAAGTCAATTTGCTTTCACATTGATCAGCCTGCTTAGGAACTGTAGTCCTGGTGAAGCAGAATCCGGACTAGAGTTTTACCTTTCAGCTAGCAGACTGGTCTGTCCCGTCTTTGTGATGATGATTTCACAGACTCCACTCCTTATCTTACCCCCTCTTTCCACTGGTAACTTCCAAGAGCTTTACCTCAATTGCTTAAGAGTAAGTATTCTGTAACACCAATCCATAAACTGACCTGCTTCCAGGCCACTTTTTCTCTCCCTTATGATGATGGACTGTCCCTTCCTAGCTCATTTCAGTGTCTCCACTTTACTCTGGGTCCCACTTCTTGGAGATGTTTTCCTATCTCCTCTTTTTCTCTGTCTGTCTCTGTTTCTCTCTTTCTTTCTATCTCTATCTCTCCCTCTCTCTCTCTGGTACATGGCAACATTAAAGAGGAAAAGCAAGAAACATAGGATAACATTTCTTTTCAGGCAGTTACTCATCTTCAAAGTCATGATAATAACTAATAGAATAATCTTTTGTGGGATATTTGTAGAAAACCTGCTTATTAAAAATAATCAGCTTTAGAGTAACCTGTAGAGTGTTAAAGTTGTCCTGTTAGACTGAAACAAAGGTAGATGCCTGTAATCCTAGGAGTCAGAAGGTTGAGGAAAGAGGATTGTCACCATCCAAAGTGAGCATAAAGAATGTTTTCATTTCCTAAAAATCACACACTTACCAGACACCAAAATCTTGATGGAGATCAGTATGCCCAAAGCTGAGATCCTGCCGATAGCATTCATCTGGAGTGTTTTCTAATTAAACATAAATCACCATAAGCCCTGGATGGATCCAGTGAATCTGTCCCTTGAGGTCAACTTTGTTTGTGCTCAGTTCACCAGATTTAAGGGTGACTTTTCTTCCTCATTTTGTCTATCTTTCTCCATCTCCATTCTATGTGCTGTTGGATGATTAAGTCTGCATAGGAAATAGGTGTAGTGATGTTTGCTGAGTGGTAAAGAAAGAAGCCAAAGCTTAACTCATTCACTCCCTTGCAATATTAAAACATTAAGACACATTTTATGACAATTCCCATTTTAATGCAGCTTTTAAAGAATAAGTTATATACTAGAAAATGAGGAAATACTGTGTGTACAGCTGATGAATCTGTACATCTGTGTGAACTCAGATAAGCATTTGCAAAATTTCCAAACCAAGGTGCTAACATATTGTTACTCAAAGTTCCTGACATACTCTTCCTTTCTTCTCTTTCTCAAGAGGCAAACAGGGCCCTAACACCTCTCACAGTTTGCCTATTGTGCTGGTTAATGAGCCCCACATAAATGAAATGCTTTAGTGAGTTCATCCCTGCATGCTAGTTTGGACTTATCAAAGAATACATCATAATTCATTCATCAGTTTCTCTGTGACTTTGATTTGCTTTCTTTGATGACTAATATATAAAGCTTTTAGGAGAACTCTTGATTTGCATATACTTTTTGGTCTCTATGGGACCCATTTTCTCAGATATATACATACAAATAAAGGCGATGGTCATAGGATAGTGTGACTTTAAACAAATGCTTCCTGTTATGACTTAACTGCCAGCCTGTCCCTCCTTTTCTTCCTTTTTTTATATTTCTTTTTTTTTATTTGATTTAGAAACAAGATTGTTTTACATGTCACTCCCAGTTCCCACTCCCTCCCCTCCTCTCCTAGCAACCCGCCCAACTAAAACGCTACCTATCACATATCCTTTCTGCTCTCCAGGGAGGGTGAGGCCTTCCATAGGGGGTCATCAGAGTCTATCATATCCTTTGGGATAGGGCCTAGACCCACCCCAGTGTGTCTTGGATCCTTAAGGCCATTCCTATGGTAGCTATAAGTACTGATCCACTACAAGAGGCCCCATAGGTTTCCAAGGTCTCCTCACTGACACCCACATTCAGGGAGTCTGTATCAGTCCCATGCTGGTTTCCCAGTTATCAGTCTGGGGACCAAGAGCTCTCCCTTGTTCAGGTCAGCTGTTTCTGTGGGTTTCACCAGTCTGATATGGACCCCTTTGCACATCAGTCCTCCTCTGCAACTGGATTTCAGTTCAGTTTAAGGTTGAGCTGTGGGTGTCTGCTTCTGCTTCCACCAGCTGCTAGATGAAGGCTATATGATGGCATATGAACTAGTCATCAATCTCATTATCAGGAGAAGGCATTTAAAGTAGCCTCTCCTCTGTTCCTTAGATTGTTAATTGGAATCATCTTTGTAGCTCTCCAGACATTTCCCTAGTGCCTGATTTCTCTTTGAACTTACAATGTCTCCCTCTATTATATTATCTCTTATCTTGATCTCTTCTGTTCTCCCCCCAACTCATCCTCCCTGTCCCATCATGTCTTCCTCCCCCCTCTTCTTTCATTCTCCAAGTTCCCTCTCCCCTCCCCCCATGCTCCCAATTTGCTCAGGAGATCTTGTCCCTTTCTCCTTTTCCAGGGGACCATGGATGTCTCTCTTAGGGTCCTCCTTGTTTACCAGCCTTTCCGGCAGCCTGGGCTGCAGGCTGGTAATCCTTTACTCTATGTCTAAAACCCACATATGAGTGAATACATACCATGCCGGTCTTTTGTGACTGGGTTACCTCACTCAGAATGGTTTCTTCTAGTTCCATCCATTTGTCTGCGAATTTCAAGTTTCCATTGCCTTTTTTCCACTGAGTAGTACTCCATTGTGTATATGTACCACATTTTCTCCATCCATTCTTCAGTTGATGGGCATCTAGGCTGCTTCCAGTTTCTGGCTATTACAAATAGTGCTGCTATGAACATCGTTGAACAGATGTCTTTGTTGTATGAATGTGCTTCTTTTGGGTATATGCCTAGGAGTGGAATTGCTGGATCTTGTGGTAGACTCATTCCCATTTTCTTGAGGAGTTGCCATACTGATTTCCAAAGTAGGTGTACAAGTTGCCACTCCCTCCAGCAGTGGAGGAGTGTACCTCTTTCTCCACATCCTATCCAACATAAACTGTCATTGGTGTTTTTTATTTTAGCCATTCTGGCAGGAGTAAGATGGTATCTCAGAGTTGTTTTGATTTGCATTTCCCTGATGGCTAAGGATGTTGAACACTTTCTTATGTGCCTTTCAGCCATTTTAGATTCCTTTATTGAGAATTGTCTATTTAGTTCTGTACCCCACTTTTTAATTGGATTGTTTGGTGTTTTGGAGACTAGCTTCTTGGAGTTCTTTGTATATTTTGGAGATCAGCCCTCTGTCTGATGAGGGGTTGGTGAATATCTTTCCCCAGTCCATGGGCTGCCGTTTTGCATTGCTATGTCCTTTGCCTTACAGAAGCTTCTCAGTTTCAGGAGGTCACATTTATCAATTGTCAATCTCAGTGTCTGTGCTACTGGTGTAATGTTCAGGAAGCAGTCTCCTGTACCAATTAATTCAAGGGTATTTCCCACTTTGTCTTGTAATAAGTTCAGTGTGGCTGGATTTATGTTGAGGTCTTTGATTCATTTTGACTTAAGTTATGTGCAAGGCAATTGGCTTTGGTCTATCTGCAGTCTTCTACATGTCCGCAACCAGTTACGGCAGCACCATTTGTTGAAGATGTTCTCTTTATTCCATCGTATATATTTGGATTGTTTGTCAAAAATCAGGTGTTTGTAGGTGTATGGGTTAATTTCAGGGTTTTAAACTCTATTCCATTGGTCTGCCAAAAACTAAACTGTTTTCAGGACTATAGCTCTGTAATAGAGCTTGAAGTCAGG